TTGTTTTTTGGTGAATTTTTTTGAGTTTTTTTTTTTTTTTTTTTTTTTTTTTTTTTGTCACCCTCTGTCTCTGTAATGAAGTTTTGATGGCTTACAAATTGCAGGTCATTCCATTCCATGACCTCAGTAAACAGTCTAGGTCAGTGTTCTCTTAAACCCTGTCCAGGGAAATGGAATAAGTTAATTTACTGTCCTCTAGCTAATCTGCAAGAAGACAAATCACCCTAGGTCCACCAAAGACTGTGAAGCAAAGAAAGAAACATGCACCAGAATTTGGAATTATTTATTTAAAAAGCATCAAAGTTAATGGGAACAAAAGTTCAATAAGGAAAAAAAAAATCAGTGATGGGAAAAATTAATTTCCCACCAACACAACCTTAGTAGGTTGAACATCTTATTTTACCTATTTACATTAAAGAACTGGGAGGGCCATTTTGCTGTTTGGGTCTTAAAAAATTACTTTGTTGTTTAAAATGAATTGCTGTTTTTGGGGGAAGACACAGATCCTCTGGGTTTGAAAATCACCCCTAAGAGTTCACTAGCCAAGGCTTCCCTAGACTCCAAGCTTTACTCAGTATGTTCTCGGTGTAGAGGTCTGGGGAAAAAAATCTTGCAGGGAGAAGGGGGGGGGAAGGAAGACTTCTTTGCAGGCCTAAGAGCTTCCACAGAGAACCCAGCGTCTCGAGGGGATTCATTAGGGGAACAATTTCCTGAGGAAGCTGGTCTCCTCACCCAGTCTGTGCCCACCTCTCCCAGGTTGCCTAGCGCCCCTTTGGGCTCATCTATGCGCAAAGACAATGCCAGCCTCCCCATTCATCCGAAGATAGACACTTCAACCACTGTCGTTTAAAGTCATAATTCAGAACGTTACTTGCTCCTCATATTTTTTTGCAAAGACGTATTAAGATTCTAAACAGCCACGCTTCCCGCAGGCCTGGGTTTTTCTGCGTTCCAGACCTGCGGGCATGAGCGCACGCTTCAGGGGGCTTGTCTTAGGGTAGGAAGGGCACCAGGCCCCAGCTGGCAACAGCTGGCAAAGGCCAGTTTAGGGGTGAGTGCTTTGATTTACATTTTCTGAGAGCTCCACTTCCGCCCTTCTAGACAAATGCCAGAGATGCGCAGGAAGCGGTTGCTGTCTGGAGCCCCAGGGGAGCGGAGAATCCCACCCCACGCAAGGCTGCCATTACCAGCTTAAGCCTCTTCCTTGCTTCAAGTTCCCGCAAACTCTGTAGCAACCCCCTCTCCCCCTCCTCCCCAATAACTCAGGGCCTTCACCTTGGCCGGTATCAACCTCGTGCCTTGGCCCCTCAGAGGGGAGGGTTGCGGATAAGCAGAAGGAAACAAATTCATTTTGGGGGTTTCTGTCAGAAAACGTTTATTGCCAGGAGAAATCATTTGGAAGACTAATTGGCTCTCGACCTTTCTTCCGGTTTTCTGTTGGGACAGTATTTACACCTGTACAGTATGTACATACTTCTTATAAGCAGTGCCCAAAGCGCAGAGAAATCTGGCTGGCGAGGGCGCGTCAGAGCACCGGCGGGTGCTGGGGCGTGTGCAGGTTGAGGGCGTTGGGGTGGGCGTGGCTGATCAGGTTGAGATAATGCCGGTCCAGGCCCTGCACCGGGGCCAGGAAGGGGCTGTGCTGCTGCGCCGGGCTCGCCAGAGGTACCAGAGCGCTGGGCAGGTAGGGCAGTGCCGGGCTGCGGGCTGCGCCGTGGGGCCAGGGGAAAGGTCCCGGGGCAGCGCCCTGCGGGAACACAGCGGCCTCGCTGGTGCCGTGGCCGGTGAAGTCCGGCCCCGCCGGGTGCAGCTGATAGGAGAAATCCGGCTCCGGGAGCGAACCCAGCGACGGGAAGGTGGGCTCAGCGCCCAGGCGGGCCTTGGACTGCAAGAAGGCGAGGATGCGCGCGTACTTGGTGTCCTTGGTCTCCATGCGCTCCACGGTGGTGAGGTAATGCACCAGGTTTTTCATGCACTCATGGTAGCCGTAGTGGAAGTAGTTGGCAAACTCCGCGAGAAGTTCTGCTGGGTGGGCGGAGAAAGAGAGGGGGCAGGAAAAAACCCTGAGTGGCCCCTTCCCTACTCGGAGTGCGAGGCGGGTGCTGGCATCTCCTATCGTGTTCTCTGGCCAAAGTTCCCATTTGAGGCTCGCCCTCTCCTGTCCGCAGTCTGAACACTGGACAAGCGCAAACGCCTCGGTTTCCCTAAGAGCCAGGCCCCACCCAGCCCACCTAAGAGGAGGAGCAGCAGCCCTGGACACCAGTTCTCCATCGCCGCTACGGGGGCGCCTGGGAGTGAGTGGAGCGTTGGCGGGCCTCTCGCCAAGCAGACCTTCTGGCAGAACTCTCACGCCCAGCCCCTAGGTCTCTGTGCGGCGCGCGCTCCCGGCCCACGTTTCCCTAGCGCTGAACCCGCGCCCACCTTTTTCCCTTCCCCGGGGAAAGTCAGCAGAGTGCAGGGCTCTCAGGTACTGAACGGTCATCTCCAGGATCTCCGCCTTCTCCAGCTTCCCCGAGCTCTGCAAAAGGAGGGGCTTCTCGCAGCGGCCCAGCGATCGCAGGCCCACCCCAGTGGCCAGGCGAGCGAGCACGATTTTGTATGGGGAGGACCAGGGAGCCGGGCGCGGCTGTGAATGTGCGCGAGGGCCACCTGAGGTCCCTGGGCAGTTAGTGCCTCCCCCACCCCCGCACCCCCTCCTGGTAGGCCCGCACATAAGGCGCCCTGTGGGCCCTCAGACTCTTGGAGTCCACTGGAGTGACCCCGGAGGGTTGGCGCCCGGCACCGGGTACAGACCACCGACGTTACCTGTTTTGCCAGGGCCATGGGTACCGTCTTGCCCAGCTCGTTCAAGCAGCGGTTGATCCGGTCTCTTCGTCGTTTTTCTATCACTTTATGAGAAACGGGGGTTCTCTGCGAACAGATGTTTGTACGTTTAGGATGACTTTGCCCACGAGTCGTCAAAAGCACAGCTGTAGTGTAGCCTGCTTACTAACTGCCTTCCCAGCTGCTGGTGCTGCTCGGAGTCTCCCCAGAAAGAGAACCCCGTTCCCCACTCTCCAGCCAGGTGAGCGCCATTCTCTCACTGCAGCCCTGGCGCGCTACTCTTCCAGCCACTCTACCTGCGTGGCTGCTCTTAGAAACCGAGCGCCAGGGCTCTGGGGAGGCGGCCACCAACCTAGGGGTCTGCGCTTCTCTATGGTCGAGGACTCTCCTTTCTCTATACCCACCCTCTCTCCAAACCACTCGAGATTCCTCCACACGCTAGCCCCCCCCCCTGTGACCACGCCCCAGCTAGAAGGCAGGTCGGTGAGTCAGACGCCTCCACCGCCAGGGCGCAAGGACCCTTGGGGCTCAGCCGACTCACTTTGCGTTCCTTGAGTTTGTCTGACATCCCGGTCAGTACGCGCCCTTGGGAGAGGTGGTGGCGCGAGGCACCAGTTCCCTCTCCTTCTCGTGAGCCCGCTCGAGTGTCCCAGGTAGACTGCAGCCTCCCAACACCGAGGGGCTGCCTTATAAAGCGGCCATCTAGGGCTCCAAGTGCATTCACGAGTTGAATTATTCCATAGGATTAGGGGAGCGGCGTTTGGAGGATGTATGCATTCAAGATCAGTTTTAAAGAAGTTAAGAAAAAAAAAATTAGCAGCCGAGGGGGGCGAGCTGGGGGCAGATCAGCTTTGTTAATCCACGTGGCCCTTCAAAGGACACGTGATCGGCCCGCGAATAACATTTGCATGGCAACAGCCCGGGCGGGAAAAGGAGGCGATAAAGCGGCCGGCGGGCGAGCGAGCGCCTGCAGCAGTCGCGGGGGCCGAGCGCGTCGCGGGCGCAGAGCGCAGAGGCGCAGCAGCCGCGGGCACCGGGGGGCGAGGACCCTCACAAAACAGTGTCGCCTCCTTTAGTCCCACCGCTGAGTCTCACACGATCGCCTGTTTACAAATCCCAGCAAGCCCGCTGTCCCAGCGCCGAGTGCGTTTTAAAGCCTGTCCAGAGTCATTAAAGTAATTAAGTAAGCCTTTAATAGGCTGTTCCGCCGGGTTCAAGGGAGGGCTCTTGGAGACGGAGGCGCCCCGTTTGTTCCCAGGCTTTTCTCACACGACTTGGTGACACGTCCATCTCCCCCCTTTTTGTTTACACCGCTTTATTTGTCCGGACATCCCGGCAGGTGTGGGGCTGCGGCTGGCACACGAGGCTCCCGCCTCGCGTCGCCCCTCCCGCGGGTCTTTGGCACGCGACGCTCCCCCCTACTCCCTGACCACGTCGCCTGCTTTCTTTTCTCCCCCCTTCGACTCTCTCTTCGCGGGGGGAAGAGGCTCAATTTGTAGCCTATTATCCTATACGAAAATGTCCATTGAAAAGTATGAATAGTTTCATTGGGCTAAATTTTAATAATGCCAGAGGGTGGGGGAGGAGAGCCAGGCGATCGTGTTGTGTGTCTGTGTGTGTGTGAGAGAGAAAGGGGGGTGGTGGGAGGATTGGGGGGCAACAGGGAGAAGAGTGGGCTGAGAAGAAAAGGGGGAATGCAGCTGGCCCAGGCGAGCATTATGCGACGTCACCTGCGAGAGGGGGCGCCTCCAGACCCCTATTCATTTGCCTAATTTTGGTCAATTTAACAAACTTCAGGAGAAATTATTGTGGCTTTGTCAGGGAGGGTGAAGCCTTCTGATCGAATTAACAGCATGTTTTGATCCGGTAAATGTCATTAGAAAGGGAGAAACAATCGCGCTTAGAGGGCTCTGAGTAATGCGCCCAAGTGGAGACGCCAAAGCGCACGGCTCACAAAGGGGGCAAGTAGCTGCCACAGGGAACTTTTGTACCCGCCCATCGCCCAAGTTTTGACACAAAAAGGCATTATTTCATACTTGAATACGTTTAATCCAACGATTGTCTATTTTCTGCAAACATATTTTCACAGCATTGTTAACTTTTTATGTCCCCCTTTCGCGGGCGCCTTTTCTTAACGTTTGGGGGCGGGAGAGCGCAGACACTTTGGGCATCAATATTTGTCACTGAAAAGGGCCCCGTGAAGTTAGGGAAGTTGATCTCTTTTTTATGGTTTTAGAAAGCGAAAATATCGGGGGAGGAGGAGGGAGGGAAGGCACCGACAGAAACGGGGGAGGAAATTTGCTGGACGGGCCGACAGGGAAGGAGGGGGGCGGCGGGGGCTGGGAACTCCCTTGGCCGCCTGCGCCTCTGCGGGAGCCAGGCCCGGCGGCCGGGGCCACCTCCCCCACCGACTGGCCTCGCTCACGTTGGCTACGTGGAGTCCTGCACGCGGGGGACTCCACGCCTGAGGGGTGTGGGTGGGGGTGAGCTTTCTTGCTGATGGAAAGGGTCAGGACGGTCTCGGCTTTATGGCCAGCTCTGGAGCCACGGAGCTCTCACCTTTTCCTCATCTTTTCCGTCTGAGAAGAGCCTAGACTTCTGCGTATCTTTCCCATTTCTGACCCCCGCCCTCGCCTAAATCCTCTCTCTCCTGCAGGACAACGGCAGGGCCGGGCTCTCCCTCTGGGTGCTGTTAGCCCTTGGCAGGGTTGGGAAGCGCGGAGCCTGCTCGCTCGCGGTCCTAGGGAGCTCGAGGGCGCAGAGCCAAGCCTGGGTTGCCGGGCGTCCGGGGAGGGAGCGGCCCACCAGCCACAGCCTGGTAGGTGAGTGAGGGGTCTGTCTACACTATGCACCCCTAGGCTCTCCTCGATCTCGCTTTCAGTCTCCTCCTCACGCTTTTCTACTGCACGCCAGATTGGACACAACCCGCACCCTCCCGCAGGTTGCTCGGCCAGCCGCGGGTGCCCTCTCAGGGCTTGTCGATTGATTTCAGTATATTCACTCACACACAAAAGGATTAAACGCCAACCCTTATCATCCAAATTAACTAACGTGAATGGGTAAAAGGGAGCGCACACACTTCTCACCCCCACCCCCTAGTTGATCCTCTTACTGCTGGTGTTAACCACCAGCTGCAGGCACCTTCCACTGGCCAAGTTTCACTCCATGCATACTGTTCGCTCTCCTGGGTTTGATTGTGAGACTGGGCTCCCAGTTTACCTCGGGATAAAGTATCCCGGTGGGGCTGGGGACGGCGCAAATGCAGGTGGGTGGTTGGAGGTGGGGCGCCCAGGTGCATCCTCGCCTTGTCCTGCGAGGCTACAGCACTCCCTGGTAGATGGGGACCCTTCTTCCCTTTTGGGGTAGGGAAGGGTGTGTTTCATTTCTCCCTCCCAGGGGAAGGGCTGAGTCACACTGCAGGTGGGCACCTCAGTCAGAGGGCTTCCCTTTACTCCTCTCCAAGGGATGGTGAGTCTAAGTGTTCCCTGAACTTGACCTGGTATACAAACAAACAAACAAACAAACAAACAAAAACGAGAGAAGAATAGCGAAGAACAGTGGTCCCTGGAGCCAAGCAGCCCATCTGATTGCAGCCCAACAGTTCAGACTTTGGGGAGGGTTTTTGACGTTACTGTGCCTCAGTTTCCTTGTTTGTAAAACAGAGATAATTATGTCTACTGCATCACCAGATGGTCACTCAAGTGAAATAAGTGCGTATACATAAGGCGCCTAAAAGAAGGCTTACCCACACAACCAGTGGCTTTATCTGCTGGCAAATCTAGCTTCTGCAAGTGGTTCTTGCATGTTTCAGGTGAGTATTATGGGGTTTGCACAGTTTTATGATTTTTTCCAATCTCTGAGAAAGTTTTCTGTTCCCTGAAAAAAAAAATCCTAGTAGTTTCTTGAAGTTTGTTAAATTGGTCAATGAATGGGACCTTCGGGGACCCCCTTCACAGGTGACATCACCTAGTGCTTGCTGGCCAGCTCTGTCCTCCCAGTGTGTGCTAGGCAGAAAAAGCCCTTCAACACCATCGCCTTTCTCAAGTGATTCAAAAGTTAGCATCAGACAGTGCTAATTAGCCTCTAAAGCCCTCTTTTGGAGAACACAGCAACCACAAATAGACTTTAGTATTATTTCTACTGCTATTTCTTTAGTGCCATAGGTTTGATGTGTAGCTTCCAAATGCAGAAAGATGGATTCTTCTGTCTCTTCCCAATTTTAGAAACCGAAAATCCATGCATTTGAGGGAGGGAAGGAAACAGGAAATGAACAAAAGAAAGGAATGTAATGGTTTTTGTTTCCCCCACAGGGTGCTTGCCAGAGGAAGACAGAGAGAGGGAAAGTGCAAAATCACCTCTGCCCATGGGGGTTGGCCATACTGCAATCCTCTGTTCTCTTGCAATTCAGGGCACACTAGCACTTGTGCCACTGTGACTTTTCAAGCCTCTAGGTCCAGGACTCAAACTGTGCCAACCATGTGGGAATCCAGTGCCTTAGCCCCCGCGCCACCTGTTGGCTCCTCAGCCAAATGTTTTAGAAGCAAGTGGTCTGGTGCCTTCAAATCCCTCTTCCCTCCAGTGATCAGAGCAGACATTCAGATTCATTAACAGTACTGGGGATTTAATCGAGAGAGGACCTGTGAGGAGTCTTGCCAGAGAGTGGGAAGACACCAGTGTGACTGAACCTGTTGCGCTCTTGATGCGCCAGGGAGATGAGGCAGGAAGGACTGAACTCCTGGGTTCTCTCTCTCTCTCTCTTTTTATTTATTTATTTTTTGAGTTTTTTTTCTATAAGATGCGTGCACTAGCCAGAAAGAGAGAGAAAGACAGAAAGTGAGAAATCACCCCTCGGGGGGGATGGCCACGCTGCAGTCCCTTCTCCTCCATTCTCCTCTCGGGATCTTGGGCACGCACGCACACGTGCCTGGCATGAGTTTAAGCCACCGGGTCCAGGACTCGAACCACAGTTGACTACATGGGAGCCCAGCAACATAACCATTACGCTATATGCTGGTCCCCTGGGTTCTCTCTCTCTCTCTTTTTATTTATTTATTTTTTGAGTTTTTTTTCTATAAGATGCGTGCACTAGCCAGAAAGAGAGAGAAAGACAGAGAGAAATCACCTTCCCGGGGGGGATGGCCATGCCACAATCCCTTCTCCTCGGAATCTTGAGCACGCACACACATGCGCCCTGCATGAGTTTAAGCCACTGAGTCGAGGACTCAAACTGCAGTCGGTTCAACATACCCATTACGCTAACTGCTGGTCTCTCCCTTGGGTTCTCTTTTGAAGTGAGTGGGATCATGGATGCTTCCTTTAAAAGAATCCATGAGACCACTGAATCTTTTTTTTTTTTAAGCGAGATTTTTGTTATAGGGCATGTATGCTCGCCAGAGAGACACAGGGAGAGACAGGGAGAGACAGAGAGACAGAAAGTGAGAAATCACCCCCCAGAGGGGATGGCCACGCTGCAATCCCTTCTCCTCCATTCTCCTCTCTGGATCTTGGGCACACACGCACACGTGCCCAGCGTGAGTTTTAAGCCACCGGGCCCGGGACGCGAACCAC